CAGGTCCCAAAGTATCATTCCCTAGTTTAGCTTAAATCGAATATGCTAAAGAAAGAAAGCTAAATTATTTAAATAGATGTCAGAAAAACTCAATGTATCCGATCGATCTGCTTGAATCTCTTCGACGCGTAGACATATCGATTAAGGCATACAGTTGTCTATATATCATGTATTATCTTGTACACAACATTTATTATATTATGCGCAATCCTTTAACCTGCTGTATGCAACCAACTTGCTCCACGCGGCCGTCTCTGCACCTACAATTACCTGTTAATATACCTCGTGAAAGCCTACAGATCCGAGTCTAGTAACTCGTCAAGCATCGCTTACCTGTGGACTCCATCTGGACACGACCAAAAAGCGAAGGTGCGTTTATTGAAAAAATGACTTTGGCATAAATCGATGAATCGTATCGGAACTAAATTCATGCTCATTTTTATCCGTGTTTTAAGAGCGTTAGCATACGATGAGCGCAAAACTTCTAGATAATGAACAGGCTCATGTCAGCGACACAGGGCTCAACAAGGCTCAATTGTATCGATCAAGAAATATCTGTGTGCTTAACTGTGATTATCGATCATTGAATGATTAATTATGGCGGATTTTTTTTTTTACTTGTACAGGCTGAGGGAAAGATGGTGCGGATGGCGCATAGCTTATGTCGAAACCTAACCATCGTGGTCGCCATTACCTCTTCAGTGGCAAAAAACATGATTATAACAATGAGATTTAAAAAATTATTGAATAATAGGGCAGATTAAAATATCTCATGCAGTTCATACGGGCTTTAGCTCTCTATGACCGAAGCAAAGACGGCTCCAGACGGCGTGGGGCAACAGCATAACCAGTGTCGGGCCTACACTTGTTACGAGCGACCGAGAGGCAGTTTCTGAACTATTTGATGCTCGTCAAGTACACGGGACGGGCATAGGTGCACAAATAGTCGTATCTCCGTTGTGGCCATGCCTTGGATATTTGATTGCTACGCAGGTGCGCCCTAACGAAAGACCAAGATAATCATCGGCTCGAAGACGGAGATCGACCAAGGCATCGATCATGATACGGTACCTTACTGAGTGCTGCCTGACCTCTAACGATCATTTCTCTCGTTAGAAGCATCCAACCATATCGGAACTATGATTCAACAAGTTCTACAGACATTAACCTTGCATTAATAGAACGCATAGTTGCCGTATGAACGACCTTCATATACGTTTTCACAGGTCATGCGAACGCTTGTCTAGAATCCTAAATTTGGACTGTTCATCCAAAATCTGTGGTTCATCTGTAACAATAGCCGACTGAGTGCCAATTCATTTATCAAAACCGGAACATCCCTTTCTCTGAATACGTACCTATAAATTATTCTAGAATAATCCAGATTTTGAGTTGCCTTATGTCTGTAGAACGTTCCGGATATGTATTTATAAAGGGAAAACGGAATGGTTCGAAAGGAGTAGTCCAAGAGGCATTCTTTTAAAGAAAAATATTCTATACCTATACAAATATCTTACATTTATTTGAAGATAATGGGGTTAATAATTTCACTTTGATGTGGAACTGATTAAGTATGGTTCGGCGATTTAATTCAAAATGGTACCTTATGCTACATTATTGAGCTTGATTTTTCAAAGCGAGATTGCCATATATCCTGACTGTTTTTATGTTCCGTATCATCAATTCCTTCAGTGAAGTCATAGATTGACGAAATAATATCCGTGTCCATACCAACGGTATTGATTTGATCTACGTTGTGTTAATTGGGATTCAGTATAAGAAATAACAAATTGGCATTACAATAAACGCAAAGGTAGAAGACGAGAGCTTTGAGGGGGTTCTAACTCTGGAATCTGGCCGGCGTTTGAAGACAACTGGCGCATCAGTGGGGCCCGGGCAATTCTAGATTTATAGTAAGATATTTCTTAAAAAGCTTTGCCAATGTCTAAAAATACCGTACTTACTATGCCATGGCTCTGCAATCTGCTCTGCCTAGAGTTGCTGCGATACGTTCATTTATATCATACAACGGCTACATGTACGAATACTATGCGAATGCCATAGCGACCTTTAAGCCTAAATTGCGACGCAGAATAATTACTTTTAACGATATACCCAGGCCAGGGATGATCAGTGATCGTTGTAGCGATTTTGTCCTGCTTGGTTCTCATTAGACATATGGTGATGATCGTCTTCTCGTTTGTTCTGCTCATATGTCGGTCTAATTCTTTAGCCATTGATGTGGGTAAGATTCACTGGGCCGTTACCGCAAACTTTTGTGAGTATACAAGTACTCAGTGTAGAGGATCCTTTTTCAGAATGTAAACGATCTTACTTGAGCCTAACGTTGCAATTTGTCTCTTGCATGCTCTGAACCCTAAGGTTTCCTTTTTGTCTATACTGGCCACAAATATCTTCCACCCGGCATTCATTAAATAATAACCACTATTTCTTGCCTTATTTCTGCATAAGATTTGTTTGAGGGTGGCCACGGTGCGGTCCATCATTCGGATAAAAAATGTTCATTGAATTTATTTCTGACCAGATCAGTATCGGTTCATTAACGTACTTAATATGGTCGTCGTTTTTTAATAGAGAGCATATGTCGTAAATTATCCCTATAGTTCTTTATAATATACTCCGTTGTAAAATATACTAGACGTTTCGTACGGATCGATCACTAACCGGAGGTATCTACTAAAGTTGGAGAATAAACATATATAGTATGTTTAATTTGCCTTAGAATTACTGTATGGACATCACTCAGTAAAGATCGAACTATTTTGAGGCAGTTGAGCCATATATTTCGAAGTGAAACGAGGCAGACCTGTAGTTGAATTAATTTTCGTGAATTAGGTTCGTTGAAGATTCTACTCGATTGATCTGAAAAATATGAGGATCACAGACACTATTTCCTATGCATAGCTTTTTAGTCGTAACGTCTTTTAATATTACTAGCGCCATCACTATATACTTTTACCAGCTGTTCTGATGAATTTTGTTAACGTATTTAGCGTGACGCGTATATAGCGTAACAGGTGAGGTCTCCTCTTAGGACGCTGCATCTATCGCAAACTAAAATATTAGTTAGTGTAATACTACTATTATTTTATTCATTGCGGTATATAAAGGAACATGGTTATAGGAAATGTGAACCCGTTTGAGTCCGATCACCCTGGGTCTAACGAACCCGCTCATGCCTCCGTGGCTATTTTAGACAAGACTGAGTCTAATATAGTTGGCCACGCCATTGTCAAAGGTGACGGGCATTGTCGGGGCATGAAGAATGTCCGCAGATCCGCAAGAGACTCATTTTAAATGTCGAATAGAAGTCAGAACATTAACAATGACTGGCTAATTCCATGTTCAAAAAAACATAGCCCTGTGGAATTCCTGCTGCGGCCATTGCTGTAAAAGTATATCTGAAGCAGCCTTTTGTCTCCACTAGACCTGTATGCTAGTAGAATCTATTATTTTCTTTTCCACAGAATGTTGATGTATAGGCTGGTATTTTTCTGAATTGAATTAGAATTTGTATTTAGTAACGTCCTTACGTTCGAAGGTTCGGATGGGGCTAAAGATCTTTGACCTTATTTACACTAGTTCAGTCGGTCCCTGTCGGGTGTCATACGAATTCGATACGTACGAATCATCAGTGGAAAGCATGCGACCTTTCTAAATGCAACTATCGATTTCGCTTAAAATGCCCAAAAATGAGAGTATACAACATGCTATACCTTCAGCTAGATGTGACGTGAACATCATGCTACATGATCGAACTCATGGCCTTGCTTCTACTGAAAAGGATTAAGTTTTATCTGCGGATGAGTAGTAAAAGACCTGCGTGCTTAAATAGATTACGGACCACATACGTATCGAGGCATCATTTGACTAAAGGCACACATCGATGTAACACCTGCTTTGTCGGACTATCCCTTCGTGTGGTTTCGCCATGAAATGTAAGCGAAACTAATATACATTTGAGCACTCCCAACTGCCTCCACTTTTACGCCTAGACCTCGGTTAGGCGTCAAGCACATTAGACGAACCTGGATTACGTCTACGAATGACATTTAAGTTCAGTTATCTGCTATACAGTTGAATTTCCGTCAAGACTGGATACAAATCATTCTTCCTCATTTAAATTCACTAAAATTATTTGAAGCAGCTTTTAACAGCAAGAAACAACGTCCATGCTAGTGCTTATGTTTAACATCAGCAGTCCGCAGAAATTAGTTATCCGGAGAACTCTGCTTGATGTTAGGGACACAATAACATCTACCAAATTGATCAACTGCTTTTTTCTGAACAGCGTCCACTTCGCTGTCATGTTGTTTGTTAATTTTTTTGTTTTGCCTGCGGGTTACGCGTGGGTCTTCTGTTCATGTCGTATGTGTTAGACCGTGTGAAGAGGCGACACTTCCTTAAAGCAGCGTGTTTTTTTTCTATCTTGAGAAGAGAGGTAAGAAAGGACAGAAGGTGCACACACGACAATGAGCACCCTAATGCGAGAGCTATAGGGAAAGACAGCAAATGGAAAACTACCGGAACAAGTACTTGAAGAAGGCAAAAAAGTAAATATATCTCTATCAATTCCTTCTTGCGGTGCGTTCTGGCTTTTGCCCTCTGAACTCTTCCTATACACAAGTTTCTTCGATTACCTTAATTGCACGTTTAAAGTTGCTCACGCTGTTGGCCACGGTTTCTATAGCTATCGACTCAACAACAGACCAAAATCGAAGCATCTCTAGTGAGTTTTTATAGTTATTAAGATTCTCCTATTTCCCTACGACTAAAAAACCACGGCTTTTGTCGTTTGATGTCGTCTCAACTCGTGAGTAGCAATAAGCATGGTGGCAATCGCATGATGACTATTGCTCTGTTCGGAATAATAATAGAAAAAAATGCCTGAAAAAAGTACCACTGTCACCGAACATGTCGTTCTTCAAACAGGGCTTCCTGCCGCCTCATTTCGTGAGTTGCCACAGCAAGGTCTCAAACACCCTTTAATCCGTGATTAATGCGGATGTCATTATGTGCCTGTTCAGTATAGCCGTCGTGAATGTACATGGGGCAATAGGCTAGAACAGGACAAAAAGCATAGGAGACGCCAGGATACTATAGTCATAAGCAAACGCGAGTGTATTTGACAGCTGGACCACAATAAGCGGCTGGAAGTGAAAGTATATCCAGTCAGCAAGGTGAGTTAGATTAGAGTCGAATAAAAATTATTGATCGCTATACAAGCTGCCGCTTCGTGAGTCAGTAAAACATGATGTATTTACCGTTGAACAAGGATCACAAAACGCCTCATTATATAATATTAACTACAAGTGATTTCCACACCCCTTGGCAGACTATACGGTCTATCATATATAATACTGTAGCGTACAATATTAAATTCTATCAAAATGCATTTATAATGGCTTCTAATAATTTTGAGCATTTAGCGCAAGAACAAATGGATCAACAATTATTCTTCGCATTACCTTAAACTATTTCATTAAAAGCACCTCTGCTCTGCTTTTTTTGTTTTTTAGCTTCGCGGTACAAACTAAATGTATCGCTAATAAAACGTCGTCTGGTTGCCTCTGAGTAACTAATTTGCCATCTTCTCCAAAGTTTGAGCTGCGTATAGCCCGTGGCGTATTGATTGGAACCGATGGGTAATCGTTTGAGAGATTCTTAACCCGACTCCTCCATAGTTAGGACTGATGTAGGAAGAGATGATGGTGGCTATTGATAATTTCGATAATTTTACGTAAATAACGCTTATTTTCTACAAAACGATTGCGGAGAAATTCGTAAGTTGCACATTTTGCTTGCTTATTTTGATTAGTCTTCCACATATCTAAGCCTGATTTATGACACCTAAATCAACAGCGTATCCTAGCCAATTCATATATAGCTACTAATACACTTCGACTGTTACAGGCTGGCTGGATGGTTCAAGTACGGTAACAAAAGCTCGTTTCTAGAGATAAATTTGGTCTCTTATTGTGGCATTGCCGCGCGACCACACGCAGTTATCAACGCGCAATAATCGTAAGATAAATAGTTCTCTTTCCGTTGGTCCTAAGCTCTCCTTTCTCTACTGCTTGCAGGGCGCCGAGAACTCTCAAGAACCTTCCCCCGCGGACATCACCTCAAGATCCTGACGCGCTTTAGCATTTGGACCCCATGCACCGCTACTGAGTCAGACACCGTTCGATAACACGTTGTTGATCGACGTCAGTCAGCCCTAGTGGGCTAAGTGGTACGAAGGCAGGGAGACCTCTTTGTTGGTGCTGATACTATTGGCTTAGTTAGATTGATAGTAGAAGTCATGGCCTTTCAACTAGAATAACCTACAAATTTCTATCTCGTATTCAGAAATTATTCCATTGCAGATTAACACGAAACGGAGCGCATCTTAAAGTCCTTTATCCAATCTTGATTCACAAAAGATGTAAACATTTCTAATAACACCACGCATTCTAAGTTGAAGGTTAGGTTAGGTTTTAGGATTTTATCAGCCAGAATGCTAATTAACGCTATATGTTTTTTTCGCAATACCAATTTAGTAACGATTCTACGTATGTTGTATATCCATTTTCTAAGGCTTTATCACTGCTACTTTCACACAAGGTGGTGAAAAGTTTCCGTAAAGTAGTGTAATTGGCATCATTTTCTCATAGAAACTGGTCTCAATCTATTCAAGGGCCTACTATTTTATGAAGTTATGTCAAGTTGCCTGATCTGGATACATTTATAATGGACAGAACAACGGTTAACACTTGTTCCTTTTTTTTTTAGGTTCTGATACATTTCTGTCAGTGGCGTCAAACAAAAGGGAGATCAAAGGGCTTTAAAAAAAAGTGTCCACAATAGGTCGGTTGGCCTCGTTATGAAATATTTGGTATAGTACGATTCGTATGAAAAGGGGTTCTGGCGGAGTTTGTATGGTTCGAGTCCGTTACGAAGGCACGAGCTAAAACATTCAAATTTGTACTTTTTTTTTCTCTTTTTATTTATAGCACCGATTTTAAAGATTCATAACTTTTCAACAGCTTAAACGAGATATCCGACTGGTCCTTGCGTATTCGTAGTGAAGTTTTTTGTCATAAAAAATCGTCGGCGCTAAAGTGTGAAAAGTAAAAAGCGGCTGGAGGCTTTTCTGATTTTGGACAGGGTTATATGCCTTGCCTTTCGCCTTGAGTCCTGCTCCGCTTTTCAACAGCTGTTTTTTTCTTTATTTTATTTAAATTTAATTTTTCTTCATTCATTGTGGTCATTTTGATCTTCTTCGGCGGTGACCTTGCTAGTACCGTGGCAGTTAAATTTCTTTGCCTGTCGGTCCCTCTAGTTGGCCGGCGGTCGCTCCATCAGAGGTCTTTCTCTTCTCTCTCGGTAAGAACGCGTGAATCTTTTACCATTATTAGTGGCAGTCAGTCAGTTGCCGTATGACAACTGGTGATAAATGGTGAGGTTAGACGAGGGCTATAGAGATCGTGTTAGGCACAACAACAACGTGTCAAACACCGAACGCGCAAACGTGTCACCGAAAATCACAACGAGGAAGAACGTTCACTGTTAACAACACAAACATCTATGATGACAAACTAAACCCTACCTTGCGGCATAGTACAACGCTTAATGGGTACTAGCGCAGAACTGGTCTTCTAGACTGACTGTCAAAGCTATACAAAGATGAGAGTAGAAAAAAATTGAAATCGAGTGAAACTGAAAAAGCGTACGTTTACAAAAGACCAGTGCATACGTTTATAGTACTAAGGAACGATACAGTTTTGTTAACAAAACGAAGTTGCTTAATGTTCTGCAATATGCGTCTTCTTTAAATGATAAAAGCTCTTATCGAGTTATTAGAAAAGCTTTAAATATAACTGATCCAGGTAACAAAAATGTGTATTTCACTAATGCCTCTAAGGTTGGCAGGACCCGCTTTCGCAGTTACTGAAAGGGGGGTGATTGTCAGACAAGCCACAAAGCGTCAATCCAGGCTATTGAAAAAGTCTCAAGATTCTGAATGCTTACCGTTTGGGCGTAGTCCACGTTACCGTCTGATTCTCGAGCTAACTTACGGCCGTGTGGTTTCAAAATGTCAAAAAAACAGTTGACGTGCTTTGCTTCTGTAGATTGCTCTCCATAAACGTTACAAAAATTACTAGCAGCAAGTGACATACACATAAATAACTCACTAATTCTGTACAGGTATGAGTCGCAAAAAACCTACTCCGATGCTAACGACTAAGCTTTGGCGAGTTAAATTCGGGGCCGAACCAACAATACTAAGAACATGGAATTAATAAGAAAAAAACGCCGACATTTTTTGGGGTATTTCGACACCTTTACATTGGACCCCCTATAAACCCGTGAAACACGTAATACCTACCTGTAATTACCAATAATTGACTGAAAACGACATTAAGTGCAATCGGCCTGAAAAATGTTAACACTTGAACCGGTGCGGAAAAGTTATTGATGTCCAGGTAACGTGGACTTGAGATTTAAGCATGCGCAGCGAAGCTCGTTGCGTATATGCTGAAATTATAGGGTAAAATGTCTGCAACATGCATATAAACTTCCTGTTGTCAATTCGATCACCGTCGCATATATTATACCACCGTCCTATAGAGCAACACTACCTACAACCGCTTATAGTCGCATGCGACTTATCGAAAGAACACGTAAGTGCGTTATAACTCGTCATTGCCTCCGGGAGCAAACAAAATCGTGCGCTCGGCACCACTACTGTTATTACGAATACGGCTACTTCTAGTTCCGTGACCTTTGCGTCATGTTGGGACGCATAAACTATCGGGTAGCAAGCGGGAAAACAGCACGTTCGTGTGTCGTGTGTAAACTTCGGCTTAAGAAATATCGATTGCATTGTAATAGCATATAATGGCTACGTTTTTGGGGATAGATCCATATGCGCAAACGTGTATCTAAAAGGCTCGCTGGTTCCGCGTCTAGCTTATATCGGTTGTTCGACTGGGCAGCAAAGAGATGTTTTGGATTACTTAGCCAACCTCAATATAAAGGTCGAACTAGAGCATAGCAAATCTTTTTCGCGGCAACTATATATAACATTCGATTTTCACTCTTGGGTTAAAAGAACTATGTTATTTTGATAATGGAAAAAAGCGTAATGATTTTTGTAAAATAACTCAGTGTGCACAAAAACTGAAGGGTATTTCGTTAGTTTATGTAAGATCTGCAAGGTCTATTCTATAGGGAGATTCACAGCGCGTTAGAAATATAAAATCTCGCAAGAGTAGATTTGCGACACTTATCCTACTAACAAACACACACAAGTTTAGGGACAAGCTAAAACAACTACTACTTACTTAGTAGATCTTACTAACAATCGTACTTTGAGTTCATATAAAAGATCTTTAAAAAGGGGGCGGATTTTACTAGGAAAGAGAAAGCGCCCGAAGCTAGGAGGTGATCTGGTGGGGTCGTCGTCTTCATGTTGAGATTTACGACTCATTGATCTTTTAGAAAGATGTGCATAATCGAACAGTGTGACGGTTCGATGATGACTGTACAGCTATACATCTATTTAAATTAGAAGTACATTTGTAAATACCTAATGTGAGCAGTACATTTTTATAAACCGCTTTTTTATGACATCATTGCGATATTTCATAAGTATACACTTAAACGTAATTAATAATAACAGATTCTTACTTCTTCGTTTTTTAAATAGGCCAGGACGAATTCAGGGTCACATCGAGTGCGCAGCGTGGATGCTAATCGAAATTATGACAGTATTTTGGGACTTCAGGCTGTGTGAGGTAAATGCACTTCATGGACACGCAGGAAACAGTCCATTGCGATTTTTACCGCTTCGCTAAAGACGCAAGTGTCTTTCTAAGGTTGCGGACCGTCAGATCTGATTTTGCATCTGACCCGGACTACGCTATAACCATTAATGCCGCTAACACTATTCATAGCTATGTGACAGACAGTAGAACTAGGTAGTGATATAGAAAAAAATACGTCATATGAGAGAGCGATTAACTATACTACGCTGTCCTGTTTTCCGTTTTTTTCGTCGCTGCTTAATACGGCGCTGCTGTATGGATACTACTAGTGGAACCTGTGACGACGTACTGCTATAGTTAGTTATTAAATATTTATTCTAAGCTACGGGCCTGATAGACATTCTGCAGACCATAGCGGCGTACTACATAAAGACATTTGTCCATAATCATTTCTAAACATTTTTGATTCCTTGGTATAATTAGGCCATTCACAGGCCGTAGTACCTTCTTCTATTTGAGCCGTCCGTTTAAAAGAATTTGCAGAAGAACGTAGACTGCAAATTCAACAACGACCGATGCGCGCGAAAGAAGCGCACGTTCGTAGACAAAACAAACTAAGTTGGCCACGAAATAGCCCGTGCCTATAGAATGCTATGTAAGTACGGATACACGAAACGACTAGATCGTTTGTACGATATGCAAGTTATTTACTAGCTTCTCTCGAAAATTACAATACTATGTAATTGTGGGAAATCGACTGTCATTCCTTCTAAAAAGCTCAGCTCTGCTGTTCTCGTCTTGTATTGGGAACAGTAGCATTTTAAATTAATTAAAAAAATTCCGCACACTTTTTTGTGTGCGCGTCTATTTGCGTAGACCGTAAATCCCGTAATACTAAATTTCTATTATTTGACACTTACAAGTCTTTGAAGAGCGACTTGTCAAAGCATCGCAGAAACGTACATGTATAATTAGTTTACTATATTCCTTTATTTTAAAGAAACGGTGTCATGAAAATGGAACGACGCAGTATAGGCTGCAGATTTGCGAATGATCGTCTGGTCGGCTCACGAAGTGAATACTCCTAATGGAGTCGCTAAAGGTGTCGGCCTTTCTGTAGATCTCAAATAGCTGCTGAATCTAAAGGAACAGGAGTAAAAAGCCTCAAAATGCAGACGCTAAGAATTCCTGGCACGATGCCATCATTTGTGCCATACTCCCAGCGTTGCTTGTAAGTTCAGTAGGCCAAGCATGGCTATCGCTATGTAGCTCCCTTTACTGCCGACGAGCGCCTCCAACTGCAGCTGCCCGACGACTGCAACTCTCGAATGCTGCAGACATCATCGAAGCACCTGCTGCTACATTACTTTAGGACTTCGGCCCTGTCATAGGTATATCAAGCTGCTGATTACTAGCAAAAGATGCTGCAGACCTGAGGCTTAATTATTGGCCGTTCATTTTTTTAGTAATTGCCCTAGGGCCGCCCTATTCTGTATTGGCGCACTGCCAATCCAGTATGGCGGGTGGAGAGATGTACGGTGCGCCTAAGGTCGAGACGGCTGGGACTACGTCTAATAGTGGTTATTTTTATATTTTGCTTCATGCCGGTTTAGTTTGTCTTGAGCGTCTTAAGTAATTGTTGCCACTTAGACTTCTGCTATGCAGAATGTCTATTTCGAAATATTTATTGATTATTCTGGGAAATTGGGAACAGTATAAGTGAGAACAATTTAGAAATTGATTGGAACTGGATTTGTTGCAGGCTGCTCTAAATGCCATTTGCTGCGGTCTATTTACATTGACTAATATTCAGGCAGGCAATTCGCAGACATGGGGTCCAACTTGACAGATAGAGGCAACGTAACAAAAACGTAGAAAACTCACAAGTAAAAAAAAATTACAGCTAAAGTTGCAATCAGGATACTCACTGTGTAGATGTTTGCCAGAAGAACCTTTAATGTTTATATCATCGATATGAAAATGGGTATAATACATTAGAAACCGAATGTATAATTAAAATTTAACTAAAATGAGTGTCGAGAATATCGTAATAAACATCTACTTCAAACACGAGTAGGTACGAGAAAATTAACGCTTTATTGTTATTAAGACATTCGAAAAGTATTCAACCTGTTTACTAACAACAGTGTACAGCTACAGGAAAATATATTATGTAGTGCACATTTTTAATCGGATCCCTACTGATCGGTATCAGTCATTTATATCAGTATTTAATGTCCGGACACCCATGTCTCTTGAACTAAACAAGCAAAAATTATAAATTTCAGCGTAGATCTTAGCTAGCCCCCTGTTGTTTATAAGTGGAACCTGCACTACCAAAACTTTTTGGTCGATGTATACCTACTAGCTATATTGCTTTACGTAATTCCGCACCGTACGTATTTTGCGAGACCAATTGCTAATTGATCTTTTTAGCGCAATAAAGTAAGTAAAATTACACGAATTCGAATTTGTGGATTGAAGTCAATACTCAAAGTGAAGACCCCCGACTCTGGGCAGAGTTACGGAGTTTTTTTTAGGGCGATTTTATCCTGTCGATACAATTTTTGATGAAGTATTTTTTGTATGCAGTCTTTTGGTAGTAACTGCATAAGGCGTAAGTCAAGTAGTACACACGTTAAGTAACGGATATTTTAGGGGCAATATTAAATAATTTTTAAGATCTCGGTTATTAGCTGCAGATAGATATTGTCAGGATCCCTTATCTGTGCCTTTAGTGTAAATATTTCTGAGCATTTTAGGTATCAAGACTCTGTGGGCTTGCCGAAGACAGATTAGATTGAGAGTTCTACAGATTCTTCATGAGCTCCAGTAGGTGACTGGGCTGAACCCAACAAACACTTAAAAATCACCCATCGATTCTGAGCACCAAGCCAGTTTGTTAATACGTTTGACAGCCGAATTTTCTCACAACTTATATTGCAAATTAAAAATATCTGCTTGGTTTACGAGGTAAGTATATTTTCTCGAATACCGTAGTTCCTTACGGAAGAAGACCTTAAGAATCCTTAATGCAACAGTTTTATAATATATAAGCGAATCACGAAATATTCTGTCTGATATTACAAGGTATTTTATCCAGACGCGCCATAATTCGAAATGGCATTGATTTTTATCGCAAATGTGCAGACCGTTTTCCCCATTTGACTTTTCGCTCTGATTGCATAGGCGATCGGCCTGGCATCTATCGCTTATAGCTAGTTGACTGAATTATCTGTCTTATCCATCCTAAAAAATGCCGTTGGTGATACGGATCGATGCTGACCGCCGTTCTCTCATTTTGAGACGCAATAATTTTTCAATTAGATGCAGCCACCAAATTGTTGATTATATCAGGGCTTTAAACCAAACATTTTTATGTAGGACATAATAAGAGTATAATATTTCTGATATGTGATTCAATGTAACTTAATTATAAAACAAGTACATCTCGAGTTGGTCGATTTTGTTTGAATGATCTAGATCCATAAGATAGAGTCCTCACTGTTATTGAACAATTGCTGTTCGCGATAATTATGACAAAATTTCGAAGCGTATTAAAATTTTGAGTAAAATTAGCTGGAAAAAGCTAGAACAACAATAATCACACATTGCCACGTGGTCATAAGAACAGAAAAAGACACATAAAATTTTATTTTTCTTCTAGCATAGCCTTCAGGCCGTCAATAGATTATACTTAGTGGAAAACATCTAAAATTAGCATATCACCTCCAATAAGCAGTGCAGAATGCTTTAAAGAGTAAGCTGCAATTGTGTTATGCCTACTATATGCTCCTGTGTATAAGGTATTATTTTTCTACCCAATGTTTTAAATATCACCGGCAGTAGAAATTCATATTACAAGCCAAAACGGCTCTGGTCTGTGCAGCATAAGTGATCAGCCTTAATTTCGAAAACAGCTCTACCTATTTTCGAATCAGTAGCGCGTTTTTTTCTTAACATAATGCTACTAACCATATGTTCTTCATCAATCTCAGCATCAAATCGTTGAGCAGCGGTCATTCCTAGCTTTAAGTGTGTCATGCGTTAACCTAGAAAAGAACTTGCAAGGATCCCCTTTAATAAAAACCTATTATCGGATATTTTCTTTATGACGAGAAATGTATTATATTTAAGCGCTCTCTAGGCTCATACTCTTTAAGTATGATAGGGTGCTAAGATAAGATAAGAGCAAGTAAAAAGAGCTATTATTAAAACGTAACGTACGGACTAGAGTGGTGTCAGAAGCCGAATGCGATTACAAGCTAATGAACACGCTTGACCCGAGATTAACGCCCACTTTGTTTCCACACGTACAGCCTTCAATAACCTGTTGAAAATTAGCGTGTCATATGTGTGTCACAATCTAGCAACCTTTGACCCCCGCTTGGCTGCGTTGAGAATGTATGCAGTGAATATCATTACTATTAATTTTAAGCGATGCGATGCACGGGTACGTGCACAGTAGTTCAGCTTAGCGAAACACTTAGATAGTTTTGATCACGCAACATTTTCATTGTTTTCAATTTGCTGTAAAAACCGACCAGCGGGCTCCATCGTGCCTGAATTTGTTGATTAAAATTAAGCTCGCACCTGATCGAATTAAATTGAATATTAACCATGATCACATTAATTTATAAGCCGATGAGCACGAATGGCAGTATTATAGCTGCTGATTAAATGGAAGGCCCGGGGGTTATTAGGACACGGAAGACAAAAAGATGCCAGGGGCATAGTTAGCCTTTTCCTGCCAGGTCCATCTGCGAAATGCATGAACAGCTGGCATTTGAAATAGTTTGCGTGTTGGTTTGCATCGAAACTGAAAATAGCCTGGCAGCCAGAAAGAAGGCATAATATATTGGCAACCTAGGAAAATGACAGAAGCTTTTCAGAGCGATGTTAGATGAAGAATCGGTAAAATGAATATTGACGCCGCACATCATGTACCTCGAGGCCTTCACAGCTTTTCTCATAAGTATTCCCTGCCAGCAACGGCACTGGGTTTAAACTGGGTTGAGCCCGTGCAGCTTTGCCGACGCCCATATTGCAGTTTCAAAGCGTATAGGACACTTTATGTGAAAACACACCGAACTCTAGTAACATGCTGCCAATTAGAGATATTGGACTGTTGAGATGTCAGCACCTTGACCGCCATTTATATTTAGCGGACCTCAACCGTAGTAGCATCCATTACATGCTGTGGACATGGAGAAAGCACGCGCTCTGGGTACCAGCTTTCTAACTGATTCATGAGGCTTGTCGCCTAAAATATATCCAAGAGTAGTACGGCATTCGCTTTTCTTAAATCCGTCAATTGAGCATAGTAAGATGCAAAAACGGTAGATGTAACGGTGGAGGTTGGATGGACGCAGCTGGTTCGGTGGCCGCAATCTAGCAAAACACTTAACTGCATAGACACATTTGTCAGTTGTCTCGAACATAATAGATCCTGAAGCAAACAGCTTCCAACGCAACCGTTAACTTACCTCATTTCTTACACGATCCCTCAAATGAACTGGCTATTCATGTACTGTACAGGGGGTCTATTATAGTTTAAAGTTCTCCACTATTGAGTTGTCGAAAAAGTAGCGACCAAAATTCAAACAATATTTTCTACACTTTAGAGTAATGGTCACTAAACCAAACTTTCCGTCTTCTCACTGGTACTGAGCTAAGGGAGTTTTGCAGAGATAGCAGTATGATGGTGCAGGGGTTATACTATACGGCAGACGCAGTAAAATTTCCTATCCGAATGCTGTTAATTTTGTTGGCTGGTTGAAACGATACGCAATCCGCCATTGGTCAAAGTGAAGAACAACGCTTTCTATTGTTACTAGTTTCGGTAGATGGATTGTTGCAATCCTATCACCTATTGACAATAGAGGTCCAAGTTTATTGTTTCGCTAAACAGCAGCAGCAACTCATAATCTATGATTTATGTGTAGTCCCATTGAGCTCTTCGTCGGCCTCAGTGCGGCCTTCAACTGTCAGTGTGGCCGCGGAACTTGAAGAGCATTTCAATTTTTTCTGTGCGCAATACTATCATATGCAGCCTGTGCTTTATTTTCCGCGATCAACCGCTGTAAAAATGAACCGATTTAATTGGACCACGCCAATGATAATACGAGTAAATTCTTTTACGTCGACTGAAGCTTTATTTTCTAGGGGTTTAAAATTGTTCAGTGGGGATGTTCGGTTCGTTGGCCGCATATCATGACTGTTTAACTTGCAAAATCATTTCATCAGTTTTATCTGTAATTAATCAACGACTACGAGAAACGTCCTGCGTAGAACGAAAGCGATAGAACTATACTTGGCTGTTTCTCCGAATAGTGCATAAGGACCGTGAACACCGCATTGTTTTTCATGCATTGGGGGGCATTTTTGCCTTCAAGGAGCTGCTTTAAACCTAAATAAGGGTAGTTCAACCATTATACACCATCCACCTAATCTCAGCTTTCAAATAACCCGAGCGTCGATCTGACACGGCCAACGTCACTTTAAATACGAGGCTTTAAAGTCACCTAGGAAAACGGTCAATACTTTTCCGATAATCCAATATGTGCTGTGGTCTCTGGCTAAGCAGAATCTATCTATCGTAATTTCGATTTAAGGGATCACTTGAAGAAGCTTGAGGACGTCTATTGACGTTCTATGTCTAACATAAGGCTCATACAATCTCAGAAACCACTGACCGGAGGCTCTTCAATACACCGAGTTAACAGCCCATCTGGAAACTGCTACGTCACTGTAGTCAACGTTTCTTTTACTATTGCGTGATTCGACTGCATTACGTTTGGCTGTTGTTATCAAATGAGCCAAATCTCGTATATTGGTCATGTCGAAGTCTGCTTAGAGGATCAAGGTCTTCTTATAATTACCTGAAAGCATATTTTTAACTAGCAGAAGTACATAGGCTCTTCAAGCAAAGTAAGTTGGGCATATAATTGGCATTACAGTGGTAACGTTCCTTCTAGACAAAATTTACGTAACCCGATTTGCCATAGAGATACGCTAGATATCTCCACAATCCGTGAGAAACGATCCTTTTAAACGATATGAATTCAAACGTCATGAACGAAGAAAACAATACCTATCTTTGATACCCCACCTTCAACATAAAAAAAAAGCGAAGACAATTGAATTTTGGTTTTCTACAGAATAAGTCTCAAAATATTTTAGAAGTAACCAGGCCTATTATTGCCCGACCATTAGTAAGACCCGGACGAAATCAGCCGGTTGCCTTATAGTGCCAACAGTGGAATGGCTGACATTATGCGCAGATTAGTTAAAGTCTCCGGCGCATGCTGGACGAAAACGAGAGTTGCGTTTTTGCGGTATAAAACTGAAAAAAACGTTTAGAAACGTCTTCGGTTTCTAGACGTTCCAAAACGTCTAGAAACCGAAGAGAAGAGTCTTAAATTTAAAAATTAAACAAAGACTTTTAGCTTTATGTGATCTCAGGCAGAAATTTAGGA